GAATTTTATGAAATCCTATACTGTAATTATTAGCCTCCTCACTTGAAATAGTCACGAGCCGCCACTGAACCCAAGTGAAGTTGGTTACAAAGCAGTGTTGCCACCTTAAAAAAAATCGTATTTTTAAAACTAAAAATTTCCTAAAAAGCTGTTTTTTAGTGTTTTTTTCTTGCGCCCTCAATTTTAACATTTAAAATTGGAAATTTTTAACTGAAAATGAAGGAAATTCGAAACCTCGTTCTTAAAACCAGCTTTCCGAATCGAAAAAGCCCTGGAAATGCGGAAAATTTAAAAAAAAAACCTCTAAAAAGGACTTGAAACTTGAGTTTTTGTCACTTACCCCATTGAAAAACTGGAAATTTTTGGCTGAAAACGAAAAAAACTCATAGCCTCCGACCTAAAATCATTTTTCCCGATCGAAAAAGCCCTGGAAAAGCGGAAAATCTGAGAAAAAACTGGACAAAAACGTGAATACGTCATTGCAAAATGGCCGAATAAAAGCGACGTTGCCACACGACATCGATAAACATTTTAAATTAATAAATTTAATTAAAACCTGTTATGATTATAACACAACAAAATCCCTTGAAAACTTGTTTTCAATTGAATTCCAATGAAAATTACATATTACAAAACCTACCACTTATCGAGTATAAATGAGTAAGACAAAGATCACAATAAAGTAGTATACTATTGCAAATGCGATTATTAATGAATAAGACAAAGATATAAACAGTGTAAGACAAGTAGTACCTACCTAAATTGATAGGTAACAAAAGTACCATTAAATTAAATTCCTTATTGTTTTAGCACCTCAGAACAAAAATAGTACCCCCGTACAACAGCAAAGTCAAGGAATTGCTACTTTGTTGGTTATGGTAATAGTACTGACGATAATCGTAATGTTTTGCTGTCTTTCGGCACCTGGAATACGAGGACTTTGCAAAAAGTACATTTGCAAGTGCTGCTCCAGTGGCAGAACTGTCAACCGCAATAATTCGGAAGAACCAGATAACGGTGAGTGGAATTACGTAAAATTTCGACAAAATTATATTGAAATTCCAATAATTTTTCCGTAAAAATTATTATGTGAATATTTAATGGAATTACAGTGTTGTACAATTTACTAAAAAAAAACGAAATTTTTCCAGTACATTCCATCAGAGACCTCGACAGTGTCGTTACGGTTGCGCATAAAAATGCCGAGGTAATATTGATGTTGTCAGTTGTTACCTGAATTTTACTTTATATACTTCCAGAAAATTCAGGCGAATAATAATTAATAAATGTAATTGTTGAAATTTATAGGTACTAATAAGCTTGAAACATATACTAACAACAAAAATCTACAAATTTTATCAGTTTTATCCCCTCAAACCCGATGTATTTTGGTACTACCTATAATTTTCAGTAGGTACTATCCATATTTTCACACAAACCCTTTTTTCTACGAGCATACGGAAAAGCGGGACTGCAATCGCGTATATTCGTGCACGTGACGTCACTAAATTGACACTGGACTGGATGTAAGACAACCTAACCTTATTCCATCTTATTTATAAAGACATTTATATTCGGCCGCCATTGTTTTTACATCCTACAACGGCACAATGCAAAGGTATTTTGACCCTGGTCTACATACGTCATACACAATTAATTATATTTGAAAAATACACAAATTTTTAGGTTATGTTGACCATTGCCGCTACATTTATTAATAATTTATATTAATAGAAATCGAAATTAACAATAAATAATTAAATATTAATTAATACAGACCTTAGGGGAGATTTCACGAATTATTTGGGAAAAAATATGTATTTCCGTCCTTTTTTTTTACATGCTAGTAAAAGAGGACAAGAATACACTTGGGTCGGACTGAACTTACCTACTAATGAATTTCATTATAAAAATCGCTCTTACCTTTATAAGGACAGGAACTTTAATTGACATTTTTCCACATTAAAAAACCACTTAATTTGACCAAAAACTATGAAAAACGTAAACAAAACATTTTATTCAACGCCATATTGTATAATATCAAGTCAACTGTCAAATGTCAAGTGTCAAAATCCAATAAAAGGCGATTTTTTCAAAGTTTTGACACGAATTTACATTTTTGTTCATAACTTTGTCAATTTTCAACCAATTTTGACGTTATTTGGCTCAAAATAAAGCCAATTAAATTTTCTACAAATACATGGCTTTTATTTGGCCCCAATACCAACGTAAAATACCAAAAAAAAAAACAATTTTTAAAAAAATTTTAGATTCAATTTTGTAACTTACCAGTTTTTAATGAAAATTAATCGCCCGGCCTGGAATTTTGTGTATTTTCGATGCAAAACAGTCCAACGAACACTTTAAAACACTTTTCAGTCCTTATTTAGTCCAAAAAACCCCGAAATTATGCAAAAAAACCGAGACGTGAGCCCCAAACAACAACAAAAGACGCCATGACAGTACCAACTGCCAAAAACAAAAAAAAATTCCAAAGCTTACTTACGCGTTTTTGCAGTGTTGCCACATCATTATTTCAAAACAATAATGAAAATCAAATTAACAATAAATAAACAATAAATTTTAATTTTTTATATACCTAATAATTTAAACAACAAATGTCAAACGTCAAAATTCAATAAAATGTCGACTTTTTCATATTGTGTATAATGTCAAGTCAATGGTACCAACTGCTTTAATGGCGAAAACCATTGGTAAAATTAGTGTAAAAAATATCTATTTCCGTCACTTTTTTTTACATGCTAGTAAAAAAGGACAAGAATACACTTGGGACGGACTGAACTTACCTACTAATGAATTTTATTATAAAAATCGCTCTTACCTTTATAAGGCCCAATAACAGGAACTTCATAATGTAGCAACCCTATACGTAATTTGACATTTCAAAGTAGGCCTTGTAATCTTTTGACAATTAATTCAAAATGGTTGGTTTGTTTTCAAGGCCTACTTGGCTTGATTTTACAGTTATCTGTATTACCGACATCGGTTAAAATCAGTGTAGTTTTCAAGACCTACTACGTTATTTATTTTGTTCGGGCCGGACTCGCATATAACTCCGGCCCTTCGGGCCGGACTCGCGTATAACTCCGGCCCTTCGGGCCGGACTCGCATATAACTCCGGCCCTTCGGGCCGGACTCGCATATAACTCCGGCCCTTCGGGCCGGACTCGCATATAACTCGCATATAATCAGTGTAGTTTTCAAGGCCTACTACGTTATTTATTTTGTTCGGGCCGGACTCGCATATAACTCCGGAGGGCCGGGACTCGCATATAGAAGGGCCGGACTCGCATATAACTCCGGCCCTTCGGGCCGGACTCGCATATAACTTCATAATGTAGCAACCCTATACGTAATTTGACATTTCAAAGTAGGCCTTGTAATCTTTTGACAATTAATTCAAAATGGTTGGTTTGTTTTCAAGGCCTACTTGGTTTGATATATTACTCCGGTCCTTCGGACTCGCATATAACTCCGGCCCTTCGGGCCGGACTCGCGTATAACTTCATAATGTAGCAACCCTATACGTAATTTGACATTTCAAAGTAGGCCTTGTAATCTTTTGACAATTAATTCAAAATGATTGGTTTGTTTTCAAGGCCTACTTGGTTTGATATATTACTCCGGTCCTTCGGGCTCGCATATAACTCCGGCGAGTCCGGCCCGAAGGGCCGGAGTTATATGCGAGTCCGGCCCGAAGGGCCGGAGTTATATGCGAGTCCGGCCCGAAGGGCCGGAGTTATATGCGAGTCCGGCCCGAAGGGCCGGAGTTATATGCGAGTCCGGCCCGAAGGGCCGGAGTTATATGCGAGTCCGGCCCGAAGGGCCGGAGTTATATGCGAGTCCGGCCCGAAGGGCCGGAGTTATATGCGAGTCCGGCCCGAAGGGCCGGAGTTATATGCGAGTCCGGCCCAAAGGGCCGGAGTTATATACGAGCCCGAAGGTCCGGAGTTATATGAAAGCCCGAAAGGCTTGTTCAATTTTTTACTTATTTGATTTCGTATACCGAAATCGTTATACAAGGCGTCATTCAGTTATCTTTAAATTTAAAAATTTGAAAATTGGGTAGAACGGGTAAGTCATTGAGACGCACACTTTTCATAAAAAAACAATTGAATATCACTTCCGGTTACTTTGGAAATGGACCCAAGTCAAGAAATTTTTATGGAACCCTGTATATTTTTTTACACAGTTGGATAGAGTTTGAAATTCCCTGAGAATTTTGAATATTCTCGATTTTTGATTGGCTCCAAATTATCCGCTGACCGATAGAATTATAGACTGGGCCCCGTGATTAAAATAACTCTAGCCCTTCGGGCTCGTATTACTCTGGCCCTTCGGGCCGGATTCGCATATAACTCCGGCCCTTCGGGCCGGACTCGCATATAACTCCGGCCCTTCGGGCCGGACTCGCAGATAACTCCGGCCCTTCGGGCCGAACTCGGAAAATTCTGGAATATCCTTTTTTTCAAGAAATTCTTCTTTTTTTTAGAAGGAACCATCATCCTCTTACCCTATAGCCGAATTTTAGTCGTCGACAGGACCGTCGTCAGTCAAATCAAAACCGACCAATCAGAGATCGACTTTTTACAACTCAGCGCCATCTTGATCTGTCAACACAGTAACAGCCCGTCACCCACCTATGATAAAAATTTTCTAGATTTACCATCTTCGTACAACGAAATTTACGTTCAATGTTTTATTTACGACTCTGAAAAAAATAAATTGTTGCAAAGAAAATTTTTGACTTTACATGTTTTTATGTACCTATGTAATTATAAAGAATCAAAAAAACACTTTTTTTTTTTTTAAATGTAAAATACAACAAATTATCTACAACTATAATTTTCCTGTATTCGCCTCCTTCGTAGAACGAAATTTACGTTTAATGTTTTATCTATGACTCTTAAATGGATTAAATGTTTTATTTACGACTGTAGAATTTTTTTTTGACTTTACATGTTTTTATGTCATTAGGTGTATATATAAGGAATTAAAGAAAACACTTTTTATTTAAAAAAAAAAATTCTAAAATGTAATATACAACAAATTATCTACAACTAATTCGATTTTTCCTCATTTTTCTCTTCCATTTTTTCCCTGGTTTTCCAGGCTTGTAAGTAACTGGTCGGATGAACCGGGTAGAAACCGGCAAGGCCTAGAAGCTGAGCGACCGGTTTCGAAACTTCGGCTCCGTTGCCGATCCAGAACCGGATCCGCTCGAAGTTCAGGGCGACCAGTTTTTCGTCGTGCCGGTTCGGCATCGGGTCGTAGCTGCCGACCTGTTCGATTACCGGACGACTCTGGTGGGCCCGGTTCTGGAATACAAAAATTGAGAATTCTGTCAAACCTGGTGACATTCAAGATGGCGTGGCCGTCACACGAAATATCTAGTTATCAAAACAAACTTGCTTGGCCGCCACGCCATATTGATTTTTTTTGTTTTTTTGACAGATGGATAATATACAAAATTTAATGGGAATTTTATATACGAAAACTAGGAATTTATATACAAAAACTCATGGGAATTTGTATATAAAAATTTGGACAAAAAATTTATATACAAAATATAATACTTACGACAGCTACTACGACATGGAAAAAAGGCCTGTTAGTGCAGCCTTGCCTTAACAATCTGATCACTTTAGGGGAAACTGACGTGTAAATTCCAGTGCCGCTTGCCGGAGGCAACATTTCTTTTATTTATTTATTATTTAATTATTTAATTATTTAAATAAACAAAAAAAAATAGATTCTTTTTTTGTGAGGTTATAATGTAACGTCAAAATTTTGACAGTCAAATGTAGCGTTTTCGGATTTTGTGATAAGTAGAATTCTATTTATATCTCACCAAAGTAGAATTCTATTCAAATTGGAGTGGTTAAGGAAATGTTGGAGTAAAGTCAAAATTTAACAGTTGCAGTGTCATTGGATTGCTACTTTAGGAATAACGATAAATAGAATTCAATTCCTTTTGACATAAGATAAATATAAATGTCAAAAATAATGAAGTTACTAAAATAGAATTCTATTTAACTTAATTCGACTAGATTTTTGAACTGTTGGAGTAGAGTCGGAACATTGACTGGAGTGACTCTAAAACAGTTTTAATACAAAAATGAAAAAAATACAAATAATCTTACTCCGAGCAAAATATCAGAATCAGAGTGCAATTCAAGAATAGTACATTTTTTTTTGCTCTGAGTTAGTAAAAAACTGTTCTGAATTCGAAACAAAGAGTGAAAGGAGTAGATCCTAAAAGTGGTAGAATTTTTGGAGTGAGTTCTAATTACTCTATTCCGTATATGAATACTAAAAAAGAAAAAGTGAATATGGAGTACTCTCGAGGAACACAATTGTATTGTTTTATATTACACCAATTGTTTTCGGAGTGAGTAGAGCTAGATTATTTGCACTCGGGTAACAAAAAAAGAATAAAAGGAGTAGATTGCAGGGCCCGAATCACTTTGAATAGAAAATAGAATTTTTGGAGTAAACTTTTTCTACTCCGAATCAGAGTGACGTCGGATGAATGCACTTACCATCGTACTCTAATACAAGGCAATCTTGAAATTTTTATGCTCTGAGTTATTTTGAAAACGTTATGTTTACTCCAAACACAAAAAAAAAAATCTTGAACTAGTAATCTGGGCATTTTTTGACATTTTTTTTTTCACTCTAAAAACACTGTTCTGAGTTCAATTTTACGTAAATTGGCACGTTAAGAGTAGCACTGTTTGCACTTTTCACTCTAAAGATATTGTTCTGACTTTTCTCCCAAGTGAAATGAAACGTTTGGAGTATACTCTTTTTACTCCTTTTGTGTTACTTAAACACCGATAATCTTACTCTAAACCCAAACAATTCAATACAAAATTATTAATTCTACTCCGTTTACTCCGAGTACAAAAAGGATGCAAAAAAAACACTGATTGCCATCTTTCTACTCCGTCTTTACTCTATTTAAGAGATTCGAACGTCAAATAATCTTTACTCAATTTACTCCAAATATAAAACTTGTACTTTTCGTACTGTTCTGATTCACTCCAACATGTCATAACCACAAATTATAATCTACTCTACAGTTCCAATTACTTTCAATTCAAAATAATCTTGTTCAGAGTAGCAAAAGATTACTCTAAATGTTCTCAAATTGGGATTGAAAATCACTTGAAAAAGACAAATTCAAGAGCCAGGAATAGACAAAAAATGATCAATTAAAGGGTGACGTCACTATTTAAAAAAAAAAAACACTTCAAAAGTAAACTTTAGCTTTTATGCAACAGATGGCGCCACTTATACTTAAACGATTTTCACAATAAATTCAACAGATGGCGCCAAGAGAAAAAATTGGCGGCAAATTTGAAATTTTCCATTTTCAAAAATTTTTGGCAAATTAGTTTTTCTAAAATTAGAAAATTTTACCTGTTTTTGCCAAATAAATAATTATCGCACCACTGCTTATGGTGATGCTTATGTGCAGTGGTGCAATAATTTCTATCAAATAATTATTAACTTTTCGATAAATAAATAATTATTAATTGATTATCCATTATCAGCCCCACTGTGTAATTAGAACTTAAAAATAAACCATTAGATAAGATTTAAAATTAAGAGGCCGATAAACACATGGTTTTCAGTCTTTGTTCGAACCACCACACGCGTAGTTGAATTTAGTGACGTTTATATTTTTTTTTAAAGGAAAAATCATGGAAAATATTAAGAAAAATGTAAGTAAAATATGTTTTTAATAGGATAGGCTATCCTGTGTAATTTGTAATATCCTTGGATTTCCATCTTCGACCAATCTCCGCAATACATGTACATATAGAGAATTATTCCAATTTACTCGTTTACCATATGGCATAGCATCCGCTCCAGCCATTTTCCAATCTGTTATGAACCATCCTTCCCAGGAATCTATCAGCTGATTCTGATCCATCAAGGATCAATCGGGAGTAGTGACGTCACTATCAGTCCTCATATCACCCATTTGGAAATTCAATTTTCCCAGCAAAATAAGCACAAATACAAAATGGCCGACAGTCTACAAATGGCTAACAACCAATGAAAGATAGGTACTGAGGTCCTTTTATCTCTTATTTTTTCTAGTTTTTCCAACTCAAATTTTATCTATTCCCCCAATGTTTAACCAAAAAAGGTACGCCTATGGATTGTATGACTCCACCCCTTGTTTATTGGCAATTAACCTCGTCCATTTGGGACTCATAAAAGGCGTCTAAATGGGTGGAGCTTTACCATCCATAGGCGTACGAGATATTTTTCAAACAAAATCCCACTCGTTTTGAAAAACAACATGGCGGCAAATTTAAACTCGAATCAGTGTTGCCAACCGGTTTGTAAATTGAGCTTACACACTGTTGCCGGCTTTTACTCAAAAATCGGCCAAGCCTTACAATAAATCTTATTATATGAAGAAGAGAGAAATAGACCTATAAAATGGCAACAATGTTTTTACCAGTGGCAGTGTGTCATTTTGGTAGGGCGGGGGTTATATGCGAGTCCGGCCCAAAGGGCCGGAGTTATATGCGAGTCCGGCCCGAAGGGCCGGAGTTATATGCGAGTCCGGCCCGAAGGGCCGGAGTTATATGCGAGTCCGGCCCGAAGGGCCGGAGTTATATGCGAGTCCGGCCCGAAGGGCCGGAGTTATATGCGAGTCCGGCCCGAAGGGCCGGAGTTATATGCGAGTCCGGCCCGAAGGGCCGGAGTTATATGCGAGTCCGGCCCGAAGGGCCGGAGTTATATGCGAGTCCGGCCCGAAGGGCCGGAGTTATATGCGAGTCCGGCCCGAAGGGCCGGAGTTATATGCGAGTCCGGCCCGAAGGGCCGGAGTTATATGCGAGTCCGGCCCGAAGGGCCGGAGTTATATGCGAGTCCGGCCCGAAGGGCCGGAGTTATATGCGAGTATGGCCCGAAGGGCCGGAGTTATATACGAGCCCGAAGGTCCGGAGTTATATGAAAGCCCGAAAGGCTTGTTCAATTTTTTACTTATTTGATTTCGTATACCGAAATCGTTATACAAGGCGTCATTCAGTTATCTTTAAATTTAAAAATTTGAAAATTGGGTAGAACGGGTAAGTCATTGAGACGCACACTTTTCATAAAAAAACAATTGAATATCACTTCCGGTTACTTTGGAAATGGACCCAAGTCAAGAAATTTTTATGGAACCCTGTATATTTTTTTACACAGTTGGATAGAGTTTGAAATTCCCTGAGAATTACATTTTGAATATTCTCGATTTTTGATTGGCTCCAAATTATCCGCTGACCGATAGAATTATAGACTGGGCCCCGTGATTAAAATAACTCTAGCCCTTCGGGCTCGTATTACTCTGGCCCTTCGGGCCGGATTCGCATATAACTCCGGCCCTTCGGGCCGGATTCGCATATAACTCCGGCCCTTCGGGCCGGACTCGCATATAACTCCGGCCCTTCGGGCCGGACTTTTTAGTGGAAAATGAAGGAAACTAAAAGCCTCGTACTTAAAACCAGTTTTTTGAATTGAAAACGGCCTGGAAAACTGGAAAATTCGGGGAAAACAACCACTTAAAAATGGCCGACCGTTAAAACTGGCGAATGACATTTATGACTTACTTGATTGAAGTTTGACATTAAGCGATGTTGCCATATCAAAACTTCCAGAAATTTTGCTAATTATAGCATTCAAAACTAGAAATTTTCGCTAGAAAATGAAGAAAACTCAAAGCCTGGTACTTAAAACCGGTTTTCCCCAGCGAAAAAACCCTGGAAAGGCGACAAATCTAAGGAAAAACCTCTAAAAATTACATTTTAAAGCCTGCTTGATAAAACTAAAGTTTTTGTTGCTTACCCTGGAAATTTTTTGCAGAAAATGAAGGAAAATAAAAGCCTCGTACCTAAAATCAGTTTTCTCGATTGAAAACGACCTGGAAAAGCGGAAAATTCAAGGAAAAACCGAAATAAACACACTCAAAATAGTCGACTGTCAAAACTGGCAAATGACATTGCGTTGATTAAAAGCAACGTTGCCACATTTCGAATAGGAAAAAAATTAGATTTTAAATAGTTTTTTGTATTAATTTTAGTTAAATAATTAACTATTAATGTTTATAAAATAGTAAATTACGAAAATAATGCATTGGAAACTGATTTTTAACAAAATTTAATGAAAATGACATTCTAATGCTTGCTTCATAGTGTGTAAGACAAAGAAGGAAATAAAGTAGGATACAATTCAAGCTTAAAAATGGAAGTTTCTGGTAAAAAAATGAAGCAAATTCTAAATCCCGCCCTTAAAACTACTTTTTTCTGCTTGAAAAATCCCTGGAAAAGCGGAAAATCCAAAGAAAAACCAAGATTCCAAAGCCTACTTGTTTTCTTCACTTACCCTATTTGGAAAACTGAAAATCTTTAGCAGAAAATAAAGCCTCGTACTTTAAATCGGTTTTCCCGACCCCAAAAACATAGAAACATAACCTACAAATACAAAAAAATGGCCGGTCGGTAATACAGACAGAATGTCAGCCGATATATAGAATTCTATTTTTGTAATGTCACTGTAATAGCATTCTATTTAACTAAAACTGTTCTGTGTTAAATTAGAATTGGTTCTATGTGCTCTAAGGATTGACTAAGAAAATGTTCCGAACTTGTTAAATACAAAATAAGTGTTCCAGAGTTAACATTGAATAGAATTCTTTTAAAAAAATGTCGTTCCGAGTCGATTTCAGTGACGTCACTTGTTGTTTTGTAGAAAGTTCTGAGTTCTACGATTGCTAGCTCGAAATCGGACTCATTGACAACTGTCAAAATTGACTAGTGCCAAAATTAATTGTCAACTGTCAACATATATATTTTTTTTTTCCAGTTAAAATCTGACGGTTACGCTGTCATAGAAAATTTCCTAACCTCAAACGAAATTACCGACCTTAAAAACGAAGCCGCAAACCTAATAAAATCGATGCCGGACCAATCAAATCGCACCATTTTCAACACGAAAACGTCCGAGAAACGTCAAAACAAAGACGTAAACTTCCTAAAAAGCGCCCAAACCGTCAGCTATTTCTACGAAGAGGGCGCCCTAGACGCCCAAGGCCACCTAGCGGTGGATCCCGCAATTTCTCTCAACAAAATCGGGCACGCTTTGCACGATTTGAATCCGGTTTTCCGAAAAGTGACGTTCGGGGAAAAGATGAAAGAAATCGCCTTTCAATTGGGGTTTGAGGATCCGGCAGTTGTACAAAGCATGTACATTTTTAAGAATCCTGGACTCGGCGGTGAAGGTATGTAACATTACTTGTGACGTCATCACTTAAATACATTTTGATCGTAACCTTAAAATATGACGTCATCATAAAGTGCTTAGATGTATTTGACCGTAATCTTGAAAGGTGACGCCATCACTGATAATCAGAAATTTATTTAGATACGTTTGTCTATAACTTTGAAAGTGACGTCATCACTGATAGTCTGAAGTTTATTGACCGTTACCTTAAAAATGACGTCATCACTCATATAACCTAAAAGTTGTTCGAAAACCCAACCTCAAATTTTTTTTTCCAGTGGTACCACATCAGGACGGCTGGTTTTTGCACACGGAACCAATGAAAGTCGTCGGTTTCTGGTTCGCCCTAGAGGACGCCACTGTGGAAAACGGGTGCTTGTGGTTCTCGAAAGGTTCCCACAAAAGCGGAATCCATCGTCGCTTCATCAGAAATCCTCAAAAAGACTCAGAAGAACTTCTCATTTACAATGCCCCTGCGCCGACTTATCAGAAAAGTAGTTTTTGCGCAGTACCAGTACCAAAAGGTACAAAAAATTGACAAAATTGTACTAAGTTTCATACAATTATTTTTTTTTTTCCAGGCAGTCTGGTGCTTATTGACGGCCAAGTGGTGCACTTCAGCGAACCCAACAAATCCGACCAATCACGACACGCCTACACTTTCCACGTGGTCGAACGGAAAAACACGAAATATTCCGAAGAAAATTGGCTCCAGCCAACCGAAAAACCGTTTTTAAGCTTGTACAAAGACAATTGAGAATTGTACTAAGTTTTAGTACAATTATGAATTAATTTAAAAAAAACCATTATTTGAGTTATAAAACAGTTTTCTACTTTATTAAATACATTGTACTAGACTTAGTACATTTTCAAATGTACTAAATTTAGTACAATTGACTCACAACGGCTAATTATTTTATTCTACAAAATACAAATTTTCAAAATGTCAAACCGCAAAATTTGTCTTCGACCAATCGGAACGTTTCATAGTCCAGGCGTCTCCAAAAAAAATTCAAATGTCAGTCTTGGAGGGTCGTTTTGGGCCTGCAAGAAAACAACGTGTGAAAAAATAAAACTTTTTTTTTTTTTATTTATTTATTTATTTTTTTTTTTTTTTTTTAATAATCACATTATAGTAGTTTTTTTAATACTATTTTTTTTGATAATATAAAGGTTGATACACATTTTGGCGCCTTTTTCAGAAATGTACTAGATTTAGTACAATTGTCGAAAATGTCAAAAATAATTAAAAAATGTACTAAAAATGAAATGTACTAGAATTCGAAAGTAAAAATTAATTGTACTAAATTTAGTACAATTATTGTTTATTAACCTAGGAGTGCGTACGATGCCTTGGAACAAAAATAAATTGTACTAAAAATGAAATGTACTAGATTTTTGGAAATAAAAATAAGTTTAGTACAATTTCTGAAAATTTTGTTCTATTTTTAGAAATAAAGATAAATTGTACTAAAAATATATTAAGTACAATTTTTCGAAGTAAAAATTAATTGTACTAAATTTAGTATAATTATTGATGAATATTTCCCATTATCCTAAGAGTGCGTACGATTCTCCGTATCAAAAATAAATTGTACTAAAAATGAAATGTACTAAATATTTCTATTATCCTAGGAGTTTGTGTGTACGTTTTTTGTACTAAAATGAAAAAAATGTACTAAAAATGAAATTTTCGGAAATAAAAATTGATTTAATAAAACAATTTTTGAAAAAAAAAAAAAAAAATTGTACTAAAAAACAAATTGTACTCAATAAACGCTTGAAATGTACTAAAAGTTCATTATTTTTTTCATATGCGTATGGAAATGTACTAGAAAATCACATCCAAGAAAATTTACTAAGAATAAGTAAAATTTGTAAAAAACGGTTATTATGATTTTTCAAGTTGAATTGTACTAAAAATGTAAATGTACTAAATCTAGTACAATTCGGGAATTGATTGATTTTGCCCCAAAATTCAGTACAATGATTTTTTGACAAATTGTACTAGGAAACATATTTGTACTAAATTTAGTACAATTAGTTTTTTGGCCTGAAGAAGGCGCCGTTTTGATGAAACGTTGGTTGTTTTCTTGCTGGGTAACTGAATAAAGCTTAATTTACAAGTTCAGACTTACGTGCTATGTGGTTAAATATTTTTTTTTCTGTAAAAAAAAGGCACTTTTCAACGGAATGCTTAAAATTAAAAAAAAAAAAATTGGGCCGGTACGGCCCTGTATAGAGAGGGTTTATATTTAATTAATTAATATTTACACTTTTCCCAATGGACTTTTCAGTCTTTTTTGCACCTCAATTGGATAATGTTTACGTTAACACGATTTTTAATATTGTACTAGATTTAGTACAATTTCCAAAAAATTGTAGAAGAGGGATTTTTCAATAATTCATTTCATAAAAAAAAAGTTGAAAATGTACTAGAAATTCACGCCTAGGAAATGTACTAAATTTAGTACAATAATTGAAAAGGTGTAGGAATGTCACGGAATGTGTTTATAACAGCTTAAAACTTTATTTATCGGATTGTACTAAAAAAAAAAAATTGTACTAAATCTAGTACAATTCCGAAAAACCTTGTTTTCGCTGTCTAGATCGAACTAACGTGTATTTAATTGTTACTTTTCAAATAAAAGTAGGCGCAAAGACCGCCGCCAAACAAAATGGCGCCGCCAACGACAAAAGGAACATATAGAGACCTCTTGAGCTGTTGCCAGTTTTCGTTCGCCTGTTGCCGCCTCTTCATGTCGCGCACGCGCTTCTCCATGTTGTTTTTCCTTTCGACCCGACGTCGGTGACGTAGTTCGGCGGAACTGAAAAAAAAAGAAAAAAAATTGAATAAAGAAATACGAAAAAAAAAAAAATTAAAAAATATTGAAAAAAAAAAAAAATAAAAAAAATTAGAAAAAATGAAAAAAAATTCAAAAATATTGAAAAAAAATAAAATAAAAAAATTACAAAAAAAAAATTAAAAATATTACAGAAAAAAAAAATTAGAAAAAATGAAAAAAAATTAAAAAATATTGAAAAAAAATAAAATAAAAAAAATTAGAAAAAATGAAAAAAAAATAAAAAATATTGAAAAAAAATAAAATAAAAAAATTACAAAAAAAAATTAAAAATATTACAGAAAAAAAAAATGAAAAAATAAAAAAAAAAAATTAGAAAAAATGAAAAAAAAATCAAAAATATTGAAAAAAAATTTAAAGTTAAAAAAAAAGCAAAAAAATTTATGAAAAAATTGAAAATAAAAAAAATTACAAAAAAAAAATTAAAAAAATTTCAGAAAAAAAAAATTAAAAAATATTGAAAAAAAATAAAATAAAAAAAATTAGAAAAAATGAAAATAAATTAAAAAATATTGAAAAAAAAATAAAATAAAAAAAATTAGAAAAAATGAAAAAAAATTAAAAAATATTGAAAAAAAATAAAATAAAAAAAATTAGAAAAAATGAAAAAAAAATAAAAAATATTGAAAAAAAATAAAATAAAAAAAAATTAAAAAACATTTTTAGAAAAATTCTTACTTGTTTGAACTGTCGGAAAGTGGACTTTCCGGTCTTTTGTCTTCGTCTTCCTCGTCGGCTTCGTCGTCTTCTTCGTCTTCTTCTTCCTCTAGCGAATCTTCGCTGCTTCCGTCGTCGGGTACTCCCGGCAAAGGACCGCTCGGGATTTGTTTCTGAAGAAAAAAAAAAAAGTTAAAAAAAAAAACACACAAAAAATAAATTAAAAAAAAAAAAAAAAAAAAAAAAAATGAAAAAAAAAAAAATTGGGAAAAAAAATAAAATTCAAGAAAAAATGAAAATAAAAAAAATAAAAAAAAAATAAAAAAAAAAATTACCTCTTCTTTGTAAGTCAAATCGTCGTCCGAGACACTCTGAGGTATGGTGGGCAGTGGCCGGTCCGCCAGACCGTTTTGCTGCGCCGCCGCTGGTTTAAGGCTGTCGGAGCGCGGGGGCGGAAGGGGGGGCGGCTCGTTGTCCTCCTCCGAGCTGGGCGCCTCTTCTATCAGCTCGCCTCCTCCGTTCGCCTGCAAAAAAATAGAAAATAAAAAAAAAAAAAAAATAAAAAAAAATAAAGTGTCAAAAAATTGAAATGACAAAAAAAAATTAATTAACAAAAAATTTTTCTTAGAAAATTTTTTTACAGCGTTTTTTTTTCTTAGAAAATTTTTTTCCGGCGTTAATTTTCTTAGATTATTTTTTATAAATAATTTTTTCCTTTCTACAATTATTTTTTTCCGACGTTTTTTTTCTTACAAAAATTTTTTTCCGGAGTTTTTTTTCTTAGAAAAATTTTTTCCAGCGTCAATTTTCTCCGATTATTTTTTTTTAAATATTTTTTTCCCTTTTACAATAATTTTTTTTCGGCGTTCTTTTTCTTAGAAAATTTTTTCCGGCGTTTTTTTTCTTACAAAAATTTTTTTCTGCCGTTATTTTCTTAGATTATTTTTTTTAAATAATTTTTTCCTTTCTACAATTATTTTTTTCCGGCGTTTTTTTTCTTAGAAATTTTTTTCGGCGTTTTTTTTCTTGGAAAAAATTTTTCCAGCGTTAATTTTCTTCGATTATTTTTTTTAAATAATTTTTTCCTTTCTACAATTATTTTTTTCCGGTGTTTTTTTTCTTGAAATTTTTTTTTTCCGGCGTTTTTTTTCTTAGAAAATTTTTTTCCGGCGTTTTTTTTCTTAGAAAAATTTTTTCCAGCGTCAATTTTCTCCGATTATTTTTTTTTAAATATTTTTTTCCCTTTTACAATAATTTTTTTTCGGCGTTCTTTTTCTTAGAAAATTTTTTTCCGGCGTTTTTTTTCTTAGAAAATTTTTTTCCGGCGTTTTTTTTCTGAGAAAATTTTTTTCCGGCGTTTTTTTTCTTAGAAAAATTTTTTCCAGCGTCAATTTTCTTAGATTTTTTTTTTTTAAATAATTTTTTCCTTTCTACAATTATTTTTTTCCGGCTTTTTTTTTCTTAGAAAATTTTTTTCCGGCGTTTTTTTTCTTAGAAATTTTTTTTATGCCGTTATTTTCTTAGATTATTTTTTTTAATATTTTTTTCCTTTCTACAATTATTTTTTTCTGGCGTTTTGTTTCTTAGAAAATTTTTTACCGGCGTTTTTTTTCTTAGAAAATTTTTTTCCGGCGTTTCTGTTCTTAGAAAAAAAATTTCCGGCGTCAATATTCTTAGATTATTTTTTTGAATATTTCCTTCCCTTTTATAATTATTTTTTTTCAGCGTTCTTTTTCTTAGAAATTTTTTTTCTGCCGTTAATTTTCTTGGATTATTTTTTTTTAAATATTTTTTTCCCTTTTACAATAATTTTTTTTCGGCATTCTTTTTCTTAGAAAATTTTTTTTCGGCGTTTTTTTTTATAAATAATTTTTTCCTTTCTACAATTATTTTTTTCCGGCGTTTTTTTTCTTGGAAAAATTTTTTCCGGCGTTTTTTTTCTTAGAAAAATTTTTTCCAGCGTCAATTTTCTTAGATTTTTTTTTTTAAATAATTTTTTCCTTTCTACAATTATTTTTTTCCGGCTTTTTTTTTCTTAGAAAATTTTTTTCCGGCGTTTTTTTTCTTAGAAATTTTTTTTATGCCGTTAATTTTCTTAGATTATTTTTTTTTAATATTTTTTTCCTTTCTACAATTATTTTTTTCCGGCGTTTTTTTTCTTAGAAAATTTTTTTCCGGCGTTTTTTTTCTTAGAAAATTTTTTTCCGGCGTTTTTTTTCTGAGAAAATTTTTTCCCGGCGTTTTTTTTCTTAGAAAAATTTTTTCCAGCGTCAATTTTCTTAGATTTTTTTTTTTTAAATAATTTTTTCCTTTCTACAATTATTTTTTTCCGGCTTTTTTTTTCTTAGAAAATTTTTTTCCGGCGTTTTTTTTCTTAGAAATTTTTTTTATGCCGTTAATTTTCTTAGATTATTTTTTTTTAATATTTTTTTCCTTTCTACAATTATTTTTTTCTGGCGTTTTGTTTCTTAGAAAATTTTTTACCGGCGTTTTTTTTCTTAGAAAATTTTTTTCCGGCGTTTCTGTTCTTAGAAAAAAATTTTCCGGCGTCAATATTCTTAGATTATTTTTTTGAATATTTCCTTCCCTTTTATAATTATTTTTTTTCAGCGTTCTTTTTCTTAGAAAATTTTTTTCTGCCGTTAATTTTCTTGGATTATTTTTTTTTAATATTTTTTTCCTTTCTACAATTATTTTTTTCCGGCGTTTTTTTTCTTAGAAAATTTTTTTCCGGCGTTTTTTTTCTGAGAAAATTTTTTCCCGGCGTTTTTTTTCTTAGAAAAATTTTTTCCAGCGTCAATTTTCTTAGATTTTTTTTTTTTAAATAATTTTTTCCTTTCTACAATTATTTTTTTCCGGCTTTTTTTTTCTTAGAAAATTTTTTTCCGGCGTTTTTTTTCTTAGAAATTTTTTTTATGCCGTTAATTTTCTTAGATTATTTTTTTTTAATATTTTTTTCCTTTCTACAATTATTTTTTTCTGGCGTTTTGTTTCTTAGAAAATTTTTTACCGGCGTTTTTTTTCTTAGAAAATTTTTTTCCGGCGTTTCTGTTCTTAGAAAAAAATTTTCCGGCGTCAATATTCTTAGATTATTTTTTTGAATATTTCCTTCCCTTTTATAATTATTTTTTTTCAGCGTTCTTTTTCTTAGAAAATTTTTTTCTGCCGTTAATTTTCTTGGATTATTTTTTTTTAATATTTTTTTCCTTTCTACAATTATTTTTTTCCGGCGTTTTTTTTCTTAGAAAATTTTTTTCCGGCGTTTTTTTTCTGAGAAAATTTTTTCCCGGCGTTTTTTTTCTTAGAAAAATTTTTTCCAGCGTCAATTTTCTTAGATTTTTTTTTTTTAAATAATTTTTTCCTTTCTACAATTATTTTTTTCCGGCTTTTTTTTTCTTAGAAAATTTTTTTCCGGCGTTTTTTTTCTTAGAAATTTTTTTTATGCCGTTAATTTTCTTAGATTATTTTTTTTTAATATTTTTTTCCTTTCTACAATTATTTTTTTCTGGCGTTTTGTTTCTTAGAAAATTTTTTACCGGCGTTTTTTTTCTTAGAAAATTTTTTTCCGGCGTTTCTGTTCTTAGAAAAAAATTTTCCGGCGTCAATATTCTTAGATTATTTTTTTGAATATTTCCTTCCCTTTTATAATTATTTTTTTTCAGCGTTCTTTTTCTTAGAAAATTTTTTTCTGCCGTTAATTTTCTTGGATTATTTTTTTTTAATATTTTTTTCCTTTCTACAATTATTTTTTTCCGGCGTTTTTTTTCTTAGAAAATTTTTTTCCGGCGTTTTTTTTCTGAGAAAATTTTTTTCCGGCGTTTTTTTTCTTAGAAAAATTTTTTCCAGCGTCAATTTTCTCAGATTATTTTTTTTTAAATATTTTTTTCCCTTTTACAATAATTTTTTTTCGGCGTTCTTTTTCTTAGAAAATTTTTTTTCGGCGTTTTTTTTTATAAATAATTTTTTCCTTTCTACAATTATTTTTTTCCGGCGTTTTTTTTCTTAGAAAAATTTTTTCCAGCGTCAATTTTCTTAGATTTTTTTTTTTTAATAATTTTTTCCTTTCTACAATTATTTTTTTCCGGCTTTTTTTTTCTTAGAAAATTTTTTTCCGGCGTTGTTTTTCTTAGAAATTTTTTTTCCGACGTTAATTTTCTTAGATTGTTTTTTTTAAATATTTTTTTCCTTTCTACAATTATTTTTTTCTGGCGTTTTGTTTCTTAGAAAATTTTTTACCGGCGTTTTTTTTCTTAGAAAATTTTTTTCCGGCGTTTCTGTTCTTAGAAAATTTTTTTCCGGCGTCAATATTCTTAGATTATTTTTTTTAATATTTCCTTCCCTTTTATAATTATTTTTTTTCAGCGTTGTTTTTCTTAGAAATTTTTTTTCCGCCGTCAATTTTCTTAGATTATTTTTTTAAATATTTTTTTTCCCTTTTATATATTTTTTTTTCAGGAAATTTTTTTCCGGCGTTTTTTTTTCTTCGAAAATTTTTTTCCGACGTTAATTTTCTTAGAATTTTTTTTTCCGGCGTTAATTTTCTTAAATTACTTTTTTTTAAATACTTTTTTCCTTTTTACAGTTATTTTTTTTCGGCGTTCTTTTTCTTAGAAATTTTTTTTCCGGCGTTAATTTTCTTAGAATTTTTTTTTTCGGCCATAATTTTCTTTAATAATTTTTTTTTAGAATTACATATTTTTCCTTTTATAATTATTTTTTTTCGGCGTTCTTTTTCTTAGAAAAAATTTTTTCCGGCGTTTTTTTTCTTAGAAAAATTTTTTCCTGTCAAAAAATTGAAAAATTCAATTAACAAAAAAAATAAAAAAATAAAAAAAATAAAAAAATGAAGCTTGGGTAAATTTTTGCACTTACTTGCACTAAAAATTTGGATCAAAAAGGTTCGTGAGGGAATTAAGGGACAAAGGAAGCCTGGAAAGGATAAAAGTTCAAGAAAAAAAAAATTACAAATAAAAAGAAAACTTGAAAAAAATACAAAAAAAAAAAAAAAACCTCACCTGTCCTATCGAATCCTCCTCCTCCTCATCTTCCGAATCCGGATTCAGAAGCTGTTTGGCGCCCTCTATAATCGCCTGATAAGAAAATCTCAGTTGCTCGTGAGTCTGTATCAGTCCGGTCCTGTACCCTCTCAATTCCAATAGGATTTCTTCCACGTTTACCGAATTCAAACCGTACTTTTCAATCTAGAAAAAAAAAAAAAACAAAAATCACAATTTGAAAAAAAAAAAATTGAAAAAAAAAATAAATAAATAAATAAATGAATAAATTGATAATAAAAAAAAAAAAGTATTTATAAAAAATATTAAAAATAATAAAAATACAAAGAAAACAAATTTGAAAAAAAAAAAAAAAAAAATTTTAAAAATTAGAAAAAAAAAAATGGAAAAAATAAAATAAAAAAAATTAAAAAAGAAAAAATTAATAAATAAATAAATTGATAAATAATTTTTTTTTTGAAGTTTGTTTTTTCTAGATTTTTTTGTATTTTGTTTTTAATTTTTTTTGTTTTTTATTTTGTATTTTCATTATTTTTTATTAATTTTTTCTTATTAAATTTTTTGAAAAATAGATAAATTCTTTATAATTTTTCAATTTTTTTTATTTTATTTTTTTTTTATTATTTTTTTTTATATTTTTTTATTAATTTTTTTTTTTTCAATTTTTTTGTTTTTAATTTTTTTTTTTTTTGTTACTTACAAGAACCAAACAAGAATCGACGAGACAAAAAGTGCCCGAGCGGCCGATGCCGGCCGAACAGTGAACGATCGGCGGGCCGACGTCCTTTTCCAAAGCGCCGGCTTTTCTGACTTTTTTCAAAAAATCTAGGAATTTGGTGGGCGAACAAGGAACTCCGAAATCGGGCCACGTGATGTAGTGGAATTGGAGAATGTCCCTGTGATCTCTGCTCTCGATATCTGTCAATCTGTAAAAATAAAGCGGATTTTTTTTAGTTTTTTTATCATTATTTCTCCCATTTTTTCTGTATTTTCAATTTTTTCAATTTTTTTTAATTTTCATTTTTTCTTGAATTTTTTTTTTCCAATTTTTATTTTTTATTTTTTATTTCTTCAATTTTTTCTGTATTTTCAATTATTTTTTCATTTTTATTTTTTCTTGAATTTTATGTTTTTTCCCAATTTTTTTTTTTTATTTTTTTTTATTTCTTCCATTTTTTCTGTATTTTCAATTTTTTCAATTTTTTTTTCATCATTTTTTTTTGAATTTTATATTTTTTCCCAATTTTTTTTTTTTATTTTTTTTTATTTCTTCCATTTTTTCTGTATTTTCAATTTTTTCAATTTTTTTTAATTCTCATTTTTTCTTGATTTTTTTTTTTCCAATTTTTTTTATTTTTTTATTTTTAATTTCTTCAATTTTTTCTGTATTTTCAATTTTTTCAATTTTATTTTTTCTTGAATTTTATTTTTTTTCCCAATTTATTTGTTTATTTTTTTTATTTCTTCCATTTTTTCTGTGTTTTCAATTTTATCAATTTTTTTTTTCATATTTATTTTTTCTTGATTTTTTTTTTTTTTCCAAATTTTTTTTATTTTTTTTTTCTTCCATTTTTTCTGTATTTTCACTTTTTTCAATTTTTTTTTCATTTTTATTTTTTCTTGAATTTTATTTTTTTCCCAATTTTTTTTTTTTATGTTTTTTATTCCTTCCATTTTTTCTGTATTTTCAATTTTTTCATTTTTTTTTAATTTTCATTTTTTCTTGAATTTTTTTTTTCCAATTTTTTTTTATTTTTTATTTTTTTTAATTTCTTCCATTTTTTCTGTTTTTTCATTTTTTTTTAATTTTCATTTTTTCATGAATTTTATTTTTTTTCCCAATTTTTTTTTTTATTTTTTTTATTTCTTCCATTTTTTCTGTATTTTCAATTTTTTTTAATTCACATTTTTTCTTGATTTTTTTTTTTCCAATTTTTTTTTTTAATTTTTTTTTATTTTTTCCATTTGTTCTGTATTTTCAATTTTTTAATTTTTTTTTTCATTTTTATTTTTTCTTGAATTTTATTTTTTTTCCCAATTTTTTTTTTTAATTTTTTTTATTTCTTCCATTTTTTCTGTATCTTCAATTTTTTTTAATTTTTATTTTTTAATAAATTTTATTTTTTTAAATTTTTTTTAATTTCTTCCATTTTTTATGTATTTTCAATTTTTTCAGTTTTTTTCAATTTTTATTTTTTCTTGAATTTTATTTTTTTTCCCAATTTTTTATTTTTTAACTTTTTTTTTTCTTGAATTTTATTTTTTTTCCCATTTTTTTTAAATTTTTTTTTAATTTTTTTTATTTCTTCCTTTTTTTCAGTATTTTCAATTTTTTCAATTTTTTTTAATTTTCATTTTTTCTTCAATTTTATTTTTTTTCCCAATTTTTTTTTTTTTTTTTTTTTATTTCTTCCATTTTTTCTGTATTTTCATTTTTTTAAATTTTTTTTAATTCTTATTTTTTCTTGAATTTTTTTTTTTCTTGAATTTTTATTTTTTCTTGAATTTCTATTTTTTCTTGAATTTTATTTTTTTTCCCAATTTTTTTTTTTTTTTTTTTAATTTTTTTTTTATTTCTTCCATTTTTTCTGTATTTTCAATTTTTTTTAATTTTTATTTTTTATTAAATTTTATTTTTTTTCCCAATTAAAATTTTTTTAATTTTTTTTTATTTCTTCCATTTTTTCTGTTTTTTCAATTTTTTTTAATTTTCATTTTTTCATGAATTTTATTTTTTTTCCCAATTTTTTTTTTATTTTTTTTATTTCTTCCATTTTTTCTGTATTTTCAATTTTTTTAATCCACATTTTTTCTTGATTTTTTTTTTCCAATTTTTTTTTTTAATTTTTTTTTATTTTTTCCATTTGTTCTGTATTTTCAATTTTTTAATTTTTTTTTTCATTTTTATTTTTTCTTGAATTTTATTTTTTTTCCCAATTTTTTATTTTTTAATTTTTTTTATTTCTTCCTTTTTTTCAGTATTTTCAATTTTTTCAATTTTTTTTAATTTTCATTTTTTCTTCAATTTTATTTTTTTTCCCAATTTTTTTTTTTTTTTATTTATTTCTTCCATTTTTTCTGTATTTTCATTTTTTTAAATTTTTTTTAATTCTTATTTTTTCTTGAATTTTTTTTTTTTCTTGAATTTTTTTTTTTCTTGAATTTTTATTTTTTCTTGAATTTCTATTTTTTCTTGAATTTTATTTTTTTTCCCAATTTTTTTTTTTTTTTTTTTAAAATTTTTTTTATTTCTTCCATTTTTTCTGTATTTTCAATTTTTTTTAATTTTTATTTTTTATTAAATTTTATTTTTTTTCCCAATTAAAATTTTTTTAATTTTTTTTTATTTCTTCCATTTTTTATGTATTTTCAATTTTTTCAATTTTTTTCAATTTTAATTTTTTCTTGAATTTTATTTTTTTTCCCAAATTTTTATTTTTAAATTTTTTTTTTTTCCTTGAATTTTATTTTTTTTTCCCATTTTTTTTTTATTTTTTTTATTTTTTTTATTTCTTCCATTTTTTCAGTATTTTCAATTTTTTCAATTTTTTTTTATTTTTATTTTTTCTTGAATTTTTTGTATAAAACTTTTCCAATTTTTTTATTTTTTAATTTTGTTTATTTTTTTAAATTTTTTTTCCCATTTTTTTTTTATTTTTTTTATTTCTTCCATTTTTTCAGTATTTTCAATTTTTTCAATTTTTTTAATTTTTTTAAATTTTATTTTTTCTCGAATTTTATTTTTTTTATAAAACTTTTTTTCTCAATTTTTTTTTTAATTTTTTTTTTTTAATTTATTTATTTTTTTTTTCTATTTTTTTATTATTTTTTTTTACTCACCTCAGAACCCTAGTCAAATAATACGAATGATCCCGCTGTTCAATGTACTGCAAACTGAGGCCGACGTCATCAAATGTCAAAATATCACCGATGTTCCTCGGCCAATACTGGTGACATTTTTCCGCCTTTTTCTCCACCAATTTGTTCAGCATAAGCACTGCTTTACTCCGTTGTTCCCAGATCATCAGCCAAAAATGGCTGACGGTGTTGGACAAGGGACCTTGAGTCAATATGTATTTTCTGTAATAAAAAAAAAAATTGCAGTCGTAGATAAAAATATGTTACATTATGGTCGTAGATAAAATGTTATGTTATTGCAATCGTAGATAAAATATTATAGGAAGACGTCTATCAACGTTCAAATTTTTAAAATTTCAAGGAAAATCAATTTTTTTGAGCCACGCTCGTCCAACGTTTGAATTTTAAAAATTTTGGAAAAAAATTGTTTTTACGAGTGACGTCTATGAACGTCCAATTTTCAAGAAAATTGATCTCTTCGAGTTTTCTAAATTTCTAAAAATTCGATTTTTCCGAGCGACGCCTATGAACGTCCAAATTTCTAAAATGCCGATATTTTCGAACATCTTCCCGAGCGACGTGTATAAACGTTCAAACTTTAAAAAAAAAATAATTTTTCCGAGCGACATTTATAAACTTCTAAAATTTCGATAAAATCAATTTTTCCGAACGACGCTTATAAACGTCCTAATTTTTATTTCTAAAATTTCGATCGAACGAATGATTTTTTTGAGGGACGCCTATAAACGTCCGAATTTCGAGCAAATCCATATTTCCCAACGACGCCTAAAAACGTTTTAAACCCCTTTTACAATTATTTTTTTTCAGCGTTCTTTTTCTTAGAAAAATTTTTTCCGGCGTTAATTTTCTTAGATTATTTTTTTTATATATTTTTTTCCCTTTTACAATTATTTTTTTTCAGCGTTTTTTTTCTTAGAAAATTTTTTTCCGGCTTTTTTTTTCTAAAAAAATTTTTTCCGGCGTTAATTTTCTTAGATTATTTTTTTTAAATAATTTTTTCCCTTCACAAATATTTTTTTCCGGCGTTTTTTTTCTTAGAAAATTTTTTTCCGGCGTTAATTTTCTTAGATTATTTCTTTTATATATTTTTTTCCCTTTTACAATTATTTTTTTTCAGCGTTTTTTTTCTTAGAAAATTTTTTCCCGGCGTTTTTTTTTCTTAAAAAAATTTTTCCGGCGTTAATTTTCTTAGATTATTTTTTTGAAATAATTTTTTCCCTTCACAAATATTTTTTTCCGGCGTTTTTTTTCTTAGAAATTTTTTTTCCGGCGTTAATTTTCTTAGATTATTTCTTTTATATATTTTTTTCCCTTTTACAATTATTTTTTTTCAGCGTTTTTTTTCTTAGAAAATTTTTTTCCGGCGTTAATTTTCTTAGATTATTTTTTTTATATATTTTTTTCCCTTTTACAATTATTTTTTTTCAGCGTTTTTTTTCTTAGAAAATTTTTTTCCGGCTTTTTTTTTCTAAAAAAATTTTTTCCGGCGTTAATTTTCTTAGATTATTTTTTTTAAATAATTTTTTCCCTTCACAAATATTTTTTTCCGGCGTTTTTTTTCTTAGAAAATTTTTTTCCGGCGTTAATTTTCTTAGATTATTTCTTTTATATATTTTTTTCCCTTTTACAATTATTTTTTTTCAGCGTTTTTTTTCTTAGAAAATTTTTTTCCGGCTTTTTTTTTCTAAAAAAATTTTTTCCGGCGTTAATTTTCTTAGATTATTTTTTGTAAATAATTTTTTCCCTTCACAAATATTTTTTTCCGGCGTTTTTTTTCTTAGAAAATTTTTTTCCGGCGTTAATTTTCTTAGATTATTTCTTTTATATATTTTTTTCCCTTTTACAATTATTTTTTTTCAGCGTTTTTTTTCTTAGAAAATTTTTTTCCGGCGTTAATTTTCTTAGATTATTTTTTTTATATATTTTTTTCCCTTTTACAATTATTTTTTTTCAGCGTTTTTTTTCTTAGAAAATTTTTTTTCGGCGTTTTTTTCTCTTAAAACAAATTTTTCCGGCGTTAATTTTCTTAGATTATTTTTTTTAAATAATTTTTTCCCTTCACAAATATTTTTTTCCGGCGTTTTTTTTCTTAGAAAATTTTTTTCCGGCGTTAATTTTCTTAGATTATTTCTTTTATATATTTTTTTCCCTTTTACAATTATTTTTTTTCAGCGTTTTTTTTCTTAGAAAATTTTTTCCCGGCGTTTTTTTTTCTTAAAAAAATTTTTTCCGGCGTTAATTTTCTTAGATTATTTTTTTTAAATAATTTTTTCCCTTCTACAAATATTTTTTTCCGGCGTTTTTTTTCTTAGAAAATTTTTTTCCGGCGTTAATTTTCTTAGATTATTTTTTTTATATATTTTTTTCCCTTTTACAATTATTTTTTTTCAGCGTTTTTTTTCTTAGAAAATTTTTTTCCGGCCTTTTTTTCTCTTAAAAATTTTTTTTCCGGCGTTAATTTTCATTGCATTTATGCTTAATTTAGATGATATTCATTAATTTCCAATGGGGTTTTTTTTCACTGGAAAAATTTGAAATTTTAGTATGATACGCCCCTGACTTTTCTCATTTTCTCCAGAAAATTTCATAATTTTCCCTTGAGTAGTTTTCCAGAGAAAAAAAATGTTAGATGGTGCATTTATGCCTAATTTAATTGATTTTCATTAATTTCCAATGAGGTTATTTTCCACTGGAAAAATTTGAAATTTTAGTATGATACGCCCCTGACTTTTCCCATTTTCTTCAGATAATTTCATAATTTTCCCTTGAGTAGTTTTCCAGAGAAAAAAAATGTTAGATGGTGCATTTATGCCTAATTTAGTTGATTTTCATTAATTTCCAATGGGGTTATTTTCCACTGGAAAAATTTGAAATTTTAGTATGATACGCCCCTGACTTTTCCCATTTTCTTCAGATAATTTCATAATTTTCCCTTGAGTAGTTTTCCAGAGAAAAAAAATGTTAGATGGTGCATTTATGCCTAATTTAGTTGATTTTCATTAATTTCCAATGGGGTTATTTTCCACTGGAAAAATTTGAAATTTTAGTATGATACGCCCCTGACTTTTCTCATTTTCTCCAGAAAATTTCATAATTTTCCCTTGAGTAGTTTTCCAGAGAAAAAAAATGTTAGATGGTGCATTTATGCCTAATTTAGTTGATTTTCATTAATTTCCAATGGGGTTATTTTCCACTGGAAAAATTTGAAATTTTAGTATGATACGCCCCTGACTTTTCCCATTTTCTTCAGATAATTTCATAATTTTCCCTTGAGTAGTTTTCCAGAGAAAAAAAATGTTAGATGGTGCATTTATGCCTAATTTAGTTGATTTTCATTAATTTCCAATGAGGTTATTTTCCACTGGAAAAATTTGAAATTTTAGTATGATACGCCCCTGACTTTTCTCATTTTCTCCAGAACATTTCATAATTTTCCCTCGAGTAGTTTTCCAGAGAAAAAAAATGTTAGATGGTGCATTTATGCCTAATTTAGTTGATTTTCATTAATTTCCAATGGGGTTATTTTCCACTGGAAAAATTTGAAATTTTAGTATGATACGCCCCTGACTTTTCTCATTTTCTCCAGAAAATTTCATAATTTTCCCTTGAGTAGTTTTCCAGAGAAAAAAAATGTTAGATGGTGCATTTATGCCTAATTTAGTTGATTTTCATTAATTTCCAATGGGGTTATTTTCCACTGGAAAAATTTGAAATTTTAGTATGATACGCCCCTGACTTTTCCCATTTTCTTCAGATAATTTCATAATTTTCCCTTGAGTAGTTTTCCAGAGAAAAAAAATGTTAGATGGTGCATTTATGCCTAATTTAATTGATTTTCATTAATTTCCAATGGGGTTATTTTCCACTGGAAAAATTTGAAATTTTAGTATGATACGCCCCTGACTTTTCTCATTTTCTCCAGAAAATTTCATAATTTTCCCTTGAGTAGTTTTCCAGAGAAAAAAAATGTTAGATGGTGCATTTATGCTTAATTTAGTTGATTTTCATTAATTTCCAATGGGGTTATTTTCCACTGGAAAAATTTGAAATTTTAGTATGATACGCCCCTGACTTTTCCCATTTTCTTCAGATAATTTCATAATTTTCCCTTGAGTAGTTTTCCAGAGAAAAAAAATGTTAGATGGTGCATTTATGCCTAATTTAGTTGATTTTCATTAATTTCCAATGAGGTTATTTTCCACTGGAAAAATTTGAAATTTTAGTATGATACGCCCCTGACTTTTCTCATTTTCTCCAGAACATTTCATAATTTTCCCTCGAGTAGTTTTCCAGAGAAAAAAAATGTTAGATGGTGCATTTATGCCTAATTTAGTTGATTTTCATTAATTTCCAATGGGGTTATTTTCCACTGGAAAAATTTGAAATTTTAGTATGATACGCCCCTGACTTTTCTCATTTTCTCCAGAAAATTTCATAATTTTCCCTTGAGTAGTTTTCCAGAGAAAAAAAATGTTAGATGGTGCATTTATGCCTAATTTAGTTGATTTTCATTATTTTCCACTGAAAAATCTGAAATTTTAGTATGATACGCCTCTGACTTTCCTCTTTTTTTCCAAAAAAATTTAAAATTTAAAATTTAAATTAAATTTAATTAAAAATAAAATCAAATTTAATTTAATTAAAGCAATTAATATTTAACAAAATTAAATTTAACCATATCAAATTTAATTAAATCAAGTTAAATTTAACTAAAACAAGTTCAACTCAATCAAATTTAATGTTTAAACTTAATTAAATCAATATAAATTTAACTGATACAATTCAAATACTAAATTAAATTAAATTAAATTTAACTTAACTAAGTTAAATTTAAACAAATCAAATCCAATTTAATTAATTTAATTCAAATTTTATTTACCTTAGTCAAGAAATTAAATTTGAAAAAATATAACAAATTTAATTAAAAATCAAATTTAATTTAATTAAATCAAACCAAATTAAATTAAATCGATTAATATTAAATTAAATTAAATTTAACTAAAAACAAATTTATGTAGGTAAATCAAATTTAATTAAATTCATTTAAATTTAATAAAAACAAATTAAAATAAATTTAATTGATTTAAATTCAAATTTAATTAAATAAAATTCAATTAATTTAAATTGAAGTTAACCAAATCAAATCCAATTTAATCAAATGAATCAAATTTAATTAATTCAATTTCAATTAAATTAAATTTAATTAAATTAAGTTAAATCAAATTAAAATTTAACTAAACCAAGTTTAATTAAATTAAATTTAATTAAATTAAGTTAAATCAAATTAAAATTTAACTAAACCAAGTTTAATTAAATTAAATTTAATTAAATTAAGTTAAATCAAATTAAAATTTAACTAAACCAAGTTTAATTAAATTAAATTTAATTAAATTAAGTTAAATCAAATTAAAATTTAACTAAACCAAGTTTAATTAAATTAAATTTAATTAAATTAAGTTAAATCAAATTAAAATTTAACTAAACCAAGTTTAATTAAATTAAATTTAATTAAATAAAAAATTGAAAAACTTACCTATTAGCTTTTTCGACTTTGCACAAATTAGCATTAATATAATCAGTGGACCCTCTTTGCAGAATAATACGGCTGTGGTCATAGGGATGGACGTCCCTATACCGATTCAAATTTTTGTTTTGGGGTTTCAGGGCTTCGGTACACTGTCCTGCCAATTTTATACTTTTTGTCCGGATTTTCTGGAAAATAATGGACAAAAATAAATAAAAAAACAGGACAAAAATGGACAAAAAAAAACTACCTGATAAAACGTCGGCCAATCGTTTTTGGAATTCAAGTCCAAATATTCCGTTTCTATATTGTCCGACATCGTTGTCTCACTTTCCTTTTCTGTCATGATTTTCTTTATTTATTTATTCACAGTGGGACAAATTATTTATTTATCAAACACTCGATTTGTTTAACATTTAAACATAATTTTCTATTAATTTAACATTAAATTTAATTAAAAAAAAAACAACAAGAAACTTTTCACACAGAGGTTCAATGCCATGCCATCTTTCTTTGTTGATCTGTCGTTTTGATTGACGTTTGGGTGACAGTGACATTTCAAGGTGTTTTCAGAAAGAGTATTTTCTACTCTGGAGTACACGCGTGTTATTTACAAATGATTTTCAATTACTATTTGAGAACATTTGGAGTAATCTTTTGCTACTCTGAACAAGATCATTTTGGATTGAAAGTAGAGTAGATTATAATTTGTGGTTATGACATGTTAGAGTAAAGTCGGAACAATATTTTTAGAGTAAGAAAAGCACGAAAAATACATGATTTATATTTGGAGTAAATTGAGTAAAATTACTTGACTCTTAAATAGAGTAAAGTCAGAGTAGAAAAATGGCAATCAGCGGTTTTTTTGCATCCTTTTTGTACTCGGAGTAAGATTAATAAATTTGCATTAAATTGTTTGGGTTTTTTATTCGGAATTAGAGTAAGATTATCGGTGTTTAAGTAACACAAAAGGAGTAAAAAGAGTATACTCCAAACGTTTTATTTCACTTGGGAGAAAAGTCAGAACAATATCTTTAGAGTGAAAAGTGCAAGCAGTACATTCTTAACGTGCCAATTTACGTAAAATTGAACTCAGTATGTATTAGAGTACGATGGTAAGTGCATTCAACCGACGTCACACTGATTCGGAGTAGAAAAAGTTTACTCCAAAAATTCTATTTTAATGAAAATATTTGTTTGCTTGTTAGTAAAATAGAAAGTGATTCGGGCCCTGCAGTCTACTCCTTTTATTCTTTACTTGTTACCCGAGTGCAAATAATCTAGCTCTACTCACTCCGAAAACAATTGGTGTAATATAAAACAATACAATTGTGTAATTGAGTACTCCATATTCACTCTTTCTTTTTTAGTATCTATATACGGAATAGAGTAATTAGAACTCACTCCAAAAATTCTACCACTTTTAGAGTCACTCTTTTTTTTCTGTTAACCTAGTGCACACAATCTTAATTAACTTATATCCATATACAAACAATAGTCAAAAAGAGACAAGAGGGCAATTTTGGATACTCTAAGTACTCCCAAAATATTCTAACAGTCAAAGCTGCCCTAATGCAAATGAAAAAAATCTAGGGTTGTGTTCGGCTTTTTTACTCCGTATCAATGGCACTCTACCTATTCGATTACGGCTTTCTAGAGTAAATAAAGTGGAATATTTAAATCTTAGTCTGGCTTCAAATCCGAACGATTTTAGAGTAAAAAGTGTAGCTAAGTGGAACTTTTAGTCTACTCTTTTTACACCGAACATGCACTTATTCTAAAACGGTATCCGAACCAATAAAGTAGCTACTCTAACTTTTCGGAAATGACTTTTTAGTGTAAATAGGAGTACTTAAAGTGCGAGTGCGAATAATCTTACTCTATTTACCCCAGAAACAAATAGAGTACTTTGTATTCACTTTAACGGATCGATTATTCTTTTTCAGAGTAAATAAACGGTGTAGGAATTTACTCCAAAAGTTCCAAATTGTGATCTGCAACTTCTGGAGTCTACATTTTTTACTCTTTTCTTCAAATAATTTTACTCCAAACCTAATATCTAAATCAGTAGCGGCAAAAAGAGTATAATCTCGGTTATTTTAAGTACTCCGTAGTCACTCCAACTGTCAAAAAGAGTAATAAGAACTAGGAGCATCTAGAGCTATGTTTTCAGCAATCTCGAAAATTGCTTTAAAATTTGAATTTTTACGTGAAAATTGATTCCTGAAAATATTAATCTTACTCCGTTTACTCGGAATCAAATACTCGAAAACAAACAACAAACAAAACCGTTGATTGACATTTTTCAGCTCCAGATCGCTCTGTTCTGACTTTTATTTTAATTGAATTGGAACATTTGGATTATGCTCTTTGTACTCCTTTTTGTTTACTCCGAATACAAACCCCGAATGTTTTTTTGCTCTCCTCACTCTAAACATATTGTTCCGACGTTACTCTAACATTTAGGCGTTCGGAATCTAAAAAAGGAGTAAAGGGAGTAATCTCCAAACGCTCTAATTTACATTGGAGTAAACCCAGCTTTGACATTTAGGAACATTTTAGAGTGATAAAAAATTGTACTCTTTTTTACTCCATTGTGCAAGCTTTGTATTAAGAGTTATCAGAGTAAGATAATTGATGTTCGGGTTCCAAAAAAGGAGTAAAAAGAGTACACTTTAAACGTTTCAAATTCAGAACAGTTTTTTACTGATTCAGAGCAAATAAAAATAAATGTCAGATCACTGTTCTTAAATTGCATTCTAATGGTTCGGATATTTTGCTCGGAGTAAGATTATTTGTATGTTTTCTATTTTTCTAATAAAAACTTCAACAATTTGTTTATTTGACTAGGAGTAAAATTTTTGTTCTTCGGGTAGCAAAAAAGGAGTAGCAAGAATATACTCCAACTCTTTTGTACTTCATCGGTTTAGGTTTTGTATTCGGAGTGAATAGAGTAAGATTACTGGCGTTCAAGTGAGAAACTATGGAGTAGATTATGACATGCTGGAGTAGAGTCGGAACAATATTTTTAGAGTGAAAACAGCGACCCAGAGCAGAAAAATGTCAATCAGCTGTTTTTTTGTACTCAATTCAGATTTTCTACTCAGAGTAAACAGAGAATTCATAGCGTGCACGTATTAAATAAAAAAAGTAGTAAAGTTCAATTTTAGAGTAAAATCAGAACAGTGTTTTTAGAGTGAAAAGAGTAATCCAGAGCAGAAAATATTAATTCAAATTTTATATTTAGAGTTAGCAGAGTAAGATTATTGACGTCTATACAAGATTTATTCACTCCATTCCGTGTAAATCAAAATGCATTTAGTTACTCTTTTTACTCTAAAAGGCCAAGGAGTGGAAGAACCAAATAAAACTCTATATGCTCTTAGTTCTGTTCTGAACTACTGAAGTCTCTTTTTACGAAGTATTTAGAGTGACTTGTAGCGCAAACACTTTACGTCTATCCGAGAAAGGACATGCTGCCTACGTCACAACTGGTGATTTGGTGCAGTTGGGAGGGAAGGGGGATTTGTTCCACTCAGGCCTTATGAGAGATAGGCTATCCTATATCATTTTTGAAAACTCACAAAATCGCCTAATACTGATTTGGAGCAGTTTTTTGATTACTCTAGAATAACAAGACTAAATATAACTGCTCTAGAACAGTAAATATTCATGAAATTAATTCAATAAAATCGTCAAATATACTATTTTAGGTTCCTTATCTGCTCTATTGTGACAATGAGTGTAAATTGAACAATTTCGCTTGAATGGTTCTAAGAGTAAACTGCGTTATACTGTATTACTTACTCCATTTCGAAAGCTAGTGCAAATAGAGTAATTCCGAAAGTTACAGAACAGCAAATTTTATTGCAAAAAGTGACACTAGATTTGGCTTATTTACTCTAACTACTTTGTACGTTCAAAAAGCGTATTATTCTAGAACTGTTTACTCATTTGGTGTACTCCTATGCACTCAGTTTCAAAATGGAGTAACATAAGAGAACAAATAATGAACTGAGTTTCGGATTCTATTCTTTTCACTGTTTTACTTTACTGTTGATTTGTTTGGATATTTTGTTAGGAGCAGTTGCTTATCGGCTTCATTTCTGCACCATTTTTGACGTCAGCTATTTGAACAGCCTATTTTGAGGCGAGAAATAACATGCTGCTTACGTCACAATTGGTGATACATAAGCTTTATGAGGATAGGCCATCTTGTAGTAGTATATTTAAGGTGTATAAAATCCTTGGGAGTAAATAGAGTAAAAAGGATTGTTTCAGAAGTTCCATTTCACGAATAAATTAGTATAAGGAAAAAAATTAAAAAATCCAAATGACTCTGCTTATTTAGAACTCTTGAAGCGAGTTCTATTTACTCCCAATTCTATATATTTGTGGACAGTGTTACTCTATTTACACCTAAATTTGAAAATTAGGAGCGCTTACAGAGTAGTGAGAGTAATAAACTTTTGCAAATTGTTCAACTTGCACTCACTTTAATAATCTAATAACACAATTTGCTGTTTTGGAGCAATAATTTTAGTTTATTTTGTACTCAGTTTAAGTTAGTGCAACATTTTTGATAAACCTAGTGTTTGGAGTAAATTCTAGAACCAGAGTAAATTCTACTCTGAAAAATTATAATTTTTGAAGTATTATTTTACTTACTCCGTATTTGTACTGCGTGTTTTGTTACTCTTTTTACTCTAAAAAATTATACTTGAACTGTTAGAGTGTCTATGAAGTAATCAATTTACTCTTTTTGACTCCTTTTCTTCTTTCAATACGGGCATTGTACTTGGAGTAAGATTATTTGCGTTCGAGTAGTGTTAGAAGAGTAAAAACAGAGTCAGTGCAAGTATTTTTACAAGTTTATTTGTTATTAGAGCAGTTAGAATAGAGTTAGTGCAGATAGAACAATTGAAATAGTCAGGAGTAATTCGAAATTCAAACAGAATTGATGCATTCGGAACATAATTAGACCAAATGGAACACTAAAGAGTAATTTCAATAGAGTTGGTGTAAATGGAACAGAGTTAGAGCAAAAACGCAAAATTTCCAAATTAAATTTTAAAACTGGCTTTAAACAGGTCGACTGTGACGTCACGAAACTAGAATTCTACTTGTCGTGATTCCAGCTCTGGCGCAATTGGTGCAAGTTTTATATTATTCCGGTATAGTTAGAGTAAATTTGAACCTATAAAGAGTGCTTCCCTAGTAGTTAGAGTAATAAGTGGTGCACCGTTACACGAAACTGTTCAATTTGCACTGCTTTAATGATGACATTCATCAAGGATGATACTATTACAGAATAGCCTATCCTCATAAGGCCTGTGTGAAACAAATCCTTTACAAGTCAAATCACTAGTTGTGACGTAATTTGTGAAAGGTTCCGTAGTAGGTACCATCTATGATCAACTTTGGTACTCAAAACTCAGTGAACAACAAAGCAATTTTGCATATGGCCCCCGGCATCGTGTTCGGCAGACATATTGCTTTTTTTTCGCGT